TTTAATACAGAATTATTGACCTCCTTGCGAGGCTCCTAAACCTACAAGCGTTAGTTTTGGGTTTCGGTTTGTTTTTTTTTTTTTGCAAAAGGGGAAAAGGAAGTAAAAGGAGGAAAGGACTCGCTCGACAAAGAGCAAGAAAGGCCGCATCAGAGTCCTGCTCCCAGACTCTGCTGTGTGCTCCGTGTCCCTCCCTGGCAGCTGCCCGGGAAAGCAGCCTGTGCCCTCCCTGCGTGGCCAGGGACCCCCTGTCTTTCCTTGGAAACACGGCTTGCAGCCTGGGCTTTGTTCCTCACAAAGATTAACTGTGACATGAAGTAACTCCTGACCTTTAAAAGGGAAGAAATAGGGCAAACGTTAAGTTCTTTTACTTTGAAGGGAATTTTTATACAAGGTGAAAGGTTGTGAACTTCTCTTAAATGGGAAAGTTCAAGTGCATCCCATCATTCGGTGGGTCCCTAAAGTTCAGAAAAAACATGATGTTTTTTCTTCACGGCCTGTGTAGGTAGTTCAGGGTTTTCTGTATTTTGTGAACACTGGGATGTCGATTGTACAAGCTACCCCATTACACACAAATAGACCTACAGTCCTTGTCATAAGAAGTTCGCTGTGTCAGATACATGACTTTAAGTGTTACGTTTGCTGCATCTCCTCCTCCAGTCTTGCATTCCAACGTGAGGAACAACTCCTAATCCCAAAACATTTGTAAAACTCCTACAGGCACAAGCCCTCCTTTGATAAAACCGCTAGATTTTCTGCGTCCTGTTTCAGTCTTATACAGAGCTAGTCTTATATATGATCAAGAAAGCCATTGTATGGAACTGCCTACAGGCACGACGCCTATCTGTACATCCACAGCAGTGGGCACAATGATACAAGAAAATACGTATTTCATACTGAATACAAGATAGGTTTCCCATGTAATCCTCCCAGGTTATATGAACACTGGGCAGCCTCTTCTCCTCCAAGTAACCTTTTCCTTAAAATCATTACCTTTGCTACAGTATTAGCAATATTTTCTTTGATTTTAACCAGATAATCCCAAAATTCACAATAAATTTGAGACGTCCATCACCCTCCTTCTCCCCCCCCCAATACGTTCCTCATCCAGGAAAGATGAGACAGCATCTAATCAAGCCAGCCTTAAAAAACAGTTAACGTGCATATTGCTCCCAGTCTCTCAGATGAAATATAAAAACCTGTATAAAAGAGAGATTTTTGTGTAGTCCCTAAATGTTGCAAATTGGAGAGAATTAACCTGTTGCAGGGTCTCATGGTAAAGTGAATAGCAAGAGAAATTGGCACGCAGAATTCGAGCTGGGGTGAGGTGCCTGAGTCGAGAGATGCATTTTCTTTCTCCAGCCCTGAATATGCTTTAAACTGAAGGAAAGAACATTAAGAAAAAGGGTAGTGTGATGCCAAAGAGAAATATATTTGCAGCATGTGGATTAATTTAGAAAGCAAATATAAGCCCTGGTAACAATATAAGAAGTATAAAATCCAGTTAAATAAAAATCTCATTTTAATTTTGCCAAGGAAGATGACTCTACAAAACAGGAGGAACCAAATCACATGGTGCATAGCTTGTGCCTGGTGATGGCAGCTGACTGAATTCAGAGGCAAGTCTATGTGAAGGAAGTCTAAATCAGCATAATTTATACCCTTATTCTTTATCCCTTGACATGCAATTGGAAGCAACATAAGCTGCGATTTTAATAGGTTTACAGGAATTTAGCAGACAGATTCAGCACTGATGTGCAAGGAGGTGTGACAGTAATTCCATACATCAGTGTAATCCTAAGAGAGTCTAAATTAGTAGCAAACATAGAACTAAAAGATACAAATAATCATTTAATTAAGATATAATTTATCACTTAAGTGTTTTAAACTTCCTCCTAATGCCTGGCATAATGATTTAGTAGTCCCTTTTATTATGTCTGAATCTGACTCGGTAACCTCTATTTTGACACATTCACAGATGAAAATACCCAAGCAACTTGCTTTCCTCCAGTTATTTCCTTTGAAAGCAGTTCACGGGGCTTTAGCAAAGAAAGTATTTGCCAAGGTCAACAGATCATAGCCACTCCACATCAGAATAAAACTTAATAGAAGTGATTTATTAGGCCAGCTCAGGTTTCAGGGGAAGTTTCCCAGAAATTTAAGTGGTATGAATGATCCAGTTCCTAACCAAGTAATTTAGAGGTTTCTTGAGGCAAGACCATTCCTTGCAAAATACTGCAGAGGGAGCTCGAAGCCTGAGAGTGTTTCAAACTGAGCCTTTTGACTTCATGGTCTTCACTGGAGGAGCAGGGCAAAGAGCAAAACAAGATTCATTTCTGCCGAGCCTTCAGTGAGGTGTCGGTCACCAGGAACTTCAGGCAACAAACACCCATATAGAGACTGTGGACACGAAATGGCAAAGCGCATGGCTGCCCTTCGTGGGGTCTTTGCACCATCCCATTGCGTGAATAAACGTGGGGTGGCTGAAAGGTTCCTTGGGAGGGTTCATGTTATTAAACATCTGCTTTAAAAAGGAGTGTATTAATTCACGTGCCCTGAATAGTAAAGGTTTTGGTAAAATGTGCGCGGTTGTACTGAACCACAGGTGACTGAGATGAGTTTGCATGGAAACTTTGGAAGATGCTTTGTGTTTTCCAGCTAAGGCAATGTCCATTTCTGGCTAGCCCTTCTTTGCTCTAGCATCCTACTCTGATCTGCTGTGGGGCTGTGGAAATGTCTGACAGTTTCTGCAGGTGCTGCAATCCCTCTGATGTAATCTGATTTGCTATTAGTGCTCATTAACAAGTATACAAGTTGCTGAGTCCACCTTTCATGATTATTTATCACTGCCGAGCAACTTACTCTTCATATGACAAATAGCTTTCTGTAAATAGTAATAGCTTGCCTTCTCTTTTCAGGCAGCCCCTCTTCTCTGACAAGGGATCTCAAATCAGAGCTGATGATGCAGGTATTCAAAGAAATCTCCTTTCTGAGGCCCACAGCGAGGGCCACACACTCTGGTAGAATTTCCAGTGTTAATACATGTAATTTTCTTCTTTGCTTTTGTTCTGAGCTACATACCTGCTGCTTCATACATACTTTGCTTACCTTTGATATGTTTAAAGCTTAAATCACTGCTAATAGTAAAGATCTGCTCCTGGGTTTGTAAGGTGCAAAGGAGGTGCTTCTGTAAGACCTTCTGTCTGGTTTTACAGAGCAGAGAGAGCTGAAAGACTCAATGGATCAGGACTGTAACTTGACAGACTTGGTGGTGTAGTTGCTTTAAATAATGCGCAGCATGAAGAGATAGTCAATCAGTGTCTTCAAAGACAGAAAATGGAACCAAGTCAAGGAGTGTTTGCTGGTCTACTGCTGTTTCTTTACTTATTTGATTGGCTGGGCTGATTGTCAAGGGGAAGGTAGAATTGTCAAACAGGTATTTGTTTTTTTAACAAGTGGAAGGAAAAAGGGGAATGTCCATACAGTGCAGGTGGTGTCAAAATTCAAGCCATTCCATTATGATAAGAGAAATCTGTATGCTGATGCACACCCTGCGGGTGGCCTGCATGGTGTTTTCAAAAGCCCTGCAGCTTGAGAGGGGGGACTCGTGCCTTTTTGAGAAATGTGATGGGATGCAGTTTCTAGTTGCATGGTTCCGTAGAAACCGGTGTACTTAAGAGCTACAGTGTTTTTAAATGAAGCAGCTTGGGTAACTTCTAACTCATCAGACAATTCAATAGCAAATACCCCAGGGCGAATTTAAAATTCTCATCCCTGACAGTTCTGAGACACAGGTTGGACAGACTTCTTGGCATAGACTAGACATAGTTAATCCTCTCTCAGTGCTGAGAAATTGTTTCTCTTTTGAGATCTAGTCAATTGTAGACTTCTTTTATTATAACTGCCATCCTTTCTTAAGGGCATTTGGAGCATCTCAGTTTTTGTTCATTGTTTTCAAGGTAAGAGCAGTATTAAAAAAATGCAAACCCCTCCCTGCTAGCTGAATTGGGCAGTAACAAATTTTCTGTTTGCTTGCTTGCATTTTTACTCCCACAGTGAATAAACTGATTTCCATAAAATTTCTTAATATACTTATTCAATGCCTCTCATCCATTGTTTGCAAAATCCTAAAATGCATGTTTTCAGCAAAGAAAAGACAGTTTCTGCATTTTCTTTTGTGAATGAATCTAAATGTCCATGTTTCTTTTGTCAGATATTACCTCTCTGTTACTATAAACTCTAGCCCAGAAAGAAGTGCTCTAGTAAAGGAACTATTTGTGAAGAGACTTAGGATCCTACGAGAAAACTGTCCGTGACAAAAGGGCCCATAAGAAATGTCAAATTATTATGTGTTGAAAGAGAGAAAATTAGAAGCCGAGTGTGGGAAAAGTAAATAAGTATTGAAAAGAAAGTGAACTCCGGCATGAATAGTTTGTATACAGATAAAAGATCTGGCCAAGTAACAACAACAACAAGCAATAAGTTGTTAACAGATGCTTGAACTTAATATTGAAACAGAAGAAGTGTTGATATAATTCTGTTGATATAGTTCTGTTGTATTATTGTTGGCAGAAGAAGTTAGTTTAACTTTAGGGGAATG